ACCACCTGCTTTGCGCATCACCATCATGTGCACTTTCGGATTATTTGGCCTGCCAGCACACACAATCTCCTAGGATGATCACCCCTCATGGGACGAGGTTATGCGCCGACCAGTATCAATCACTTCACAGGCTCCATGATGCAGCTGGGCAATCACTTGGTTCGAGATATTCGCGGAACCAGTTCGTTCGCTCTCATGCATCTCCTCCCACTTTGCATGTACTATTGCGGGGGCGGGGTCCGTCAGATGTCCATCACTCATATCTGGGTCTCAATCATGATGGAAGCCAACAGGTAGCAGTTGTGTCGCGTCTTTAACCGGTGGTCCAAGTTGGGAAACAAGGGCTAACAATATACCTGTCTCCTCCAGAGTGCCGAGCTCATTCCGTTGGCACTGTCTTCTACTAAGATGGATCCACGAAGTGGCACTATCACGAGTACGAAGTACAGCATTGGAGAGCAAACCCTTGAAGAGCTGAGACCAGCCAGCCTCGACCACGAACGACGTCTCATGCAGACCTGGAAGACCAGATCGCGCGAGCCAATGGGAGCGTTTCCACCCTTCAGCTCGAGGCCTCACTGTTTGGCTTCCGCTTCTTTTGGTCCAAACAGCGATATCAACATTTGTACACAACGCCCGATAGCCATTTTTCGCGACCTCACAACGGCCTGTTCACAGACCTTACACGAGATAAACCTCGTCCCACAAGAACGGTTGGTCAATGTCTCATCTTGTCGATGCTGTGCCCCTCACGCATCTGCCGGCGACCCATCGACGCGTTGTTGAACCGAACTGTCGACCAACTTCATATGCGGCACTACCTACCTACAGGCTACAGCGCATTGTCCTTCACTGAGCTGTACAAGACTATTCGCCATGCCCGAGGTGTGCTGGACGTTGAGCCCCAAGACACGCTGCTATGCCAGCCCACTTCGTTGCGACACCGGTTATTCAGGGACACTCAACATCCAATTTGACCATCATGTTGTGCTTGATATATAGCAAAGCCTCTGATGTAGGTACGCAAACACAGTTTGAACATCACAGTGCAGCCCATGGCCGTAACACCAGACCTCAGAAATCCCCCAGCGCCGAATCTACATCCACTGCCACGGGTATGATTAGCGGACGCTAGTGATACGAATAGCGTCGATGATGGATCGCGGTCTCTTCACCTTGGCTCCGTTTTCAATGCCACCCCTTTTCGGGCTCCGTTGTCATCCCCTGTCATCTTCTAGAAACCCCTCCCCAGTCCTGTCTACTCGGCCCGGTGGCTTTGAGGCGGCCCCTGCCACCGCGGGAAGACCACTGCTCTTCCGCTTTAATTGCTTCTTTCGCTCACCGTGAAAATTCTACCCTGTCTTTTCTCAACTCATTTCCATCCTTGGAATTTTGGATAGCAGACGACAGCAGCTAACACAACACAGCAGAAAACTCCAAAGGGCGTGCAGTTAGAGTGACTCATACAGAGACAGGAGTCATGTATGCTCTGCTGCCCTAATGGTCCTTCACCTTCATGGCTTCCTGCGTTGCTGTCCAACATTTGCAGGCTGCTGAGTTCCCGACACGTCTGTGGTCAATGGGCCCTCGAGCGGACCGCTGGCATGCACCGCCTTGCTCCCGATTGGACGCGGCCCACACACCGTCGGTGCGGAACGCCAATAGCTGCACGGCAGCTCGCGCAAGGCCCCTCTCGATCTGCTAGCGGCATCCACTGCAACAATGAAATGCAGGCTGGCCGGGCTGGCTTCTCCCCGTACCCACATGCCATACGTATCTATCCAACAATGGCATGGCGACGCAGAAAAATCAAAACAAAAATAGGACCCTTTGTCAGACCTCGACACCTTGTTGGATAGACTGACAGAGGATTTCACCGGCCGACTTCGCTCAGAAATAACATTTCTGACCTCTCACCGACATTTTCCAAGCCTTGCAAGTTGCATATCCTGGCTTGCAACTCGTCTTGCATGATTATGCCCCGCGTGTTGATCGTTCGCGGCAACGTCCCATACGTGGACGCTCTGCTTCGGTGCTGGACAAGGGCTGTGACGTAGGTCAACTACCCACAAAACATGTTGCAAGGCTCGAATCCGCTGAGGCAACCGACTCACCTGGCTCCGTCTTCGCAGCTGCAGTGGTTCTCTATATTCCTCGGGGGAATAAGACAGAACAGCAAGGAAAGATCGAGGCCCTCGTGATTGGGATCACTAGCATGATGACAATCCCGAAGATATCACGACTCACCAGCGGAGACATCTTGAGCCTGTAAAGTGTCGAGTGCTTATCGAACGACGACGTGGATTCTTTTGCTATGTCGTGGGCCTTTACGACTTGACAAGGACCCATGAGGCGACGCTCTGTGTCGCGGAGACATGTGAGATAGGCCTCCAGTGTGTGCTTGCCTACATTTCCTTTCCGTCAATACACTCCATCACGAACCTCATGCTACCGTTGACGTTGGGGGTCAGTGGGGGACGGAGGCCCATCCGACGACACAGGGCCTACACCACCTGCGTCTCCAGAAACTCTCGGGATCGTCAAATCGACGAGTTGTCCCTCTGTTGCCCCTTCCAGGGTCTGCAGTTTCCCAGCTATTCGTTCCCAGACGATTCTCTGCCCGTCAGCGCTGGTGCCCCTTGGCGAATCGTTGGAGCCCGACCCGGACCACGCCGTTCACTTCGCGTCCAATAGCCACGCAAGCATGCAGATGCGACATGATACTTGCCGGAGCAGGAACACAACGAGTTACTCTGTCTGTCTGTTCTGGCTAGCTAGCGCTAGCAGTACACCCCTGGCTACGTGCCCTGATGAGACTCCGAGTTGGGTAATCTTCGCTCTGTCAACATGTCCTTTCCACCAATGGCGTCACATACCCCAGAGCGTAGGTATAATGTATTCATCTTAGGGACCTATGTACCACGTGTGCTTGCACGGGTTATGATGGCACCAAAGCGCATGCGTTAGCAGAGTTAATACGCTTGATGCAATCCCAAGCTTGAAGACAGGAGCAGACGCAGAGGGAGTCAGGGAGTGCAATGGCACATGTCAGCGGATCCCAAAGATCTGGATCGCCAATCATAAGACACACAGCCACGATCGTGCTAGTCCACATCCAGTGGCGGTACGTACCTAGCTGCCGCTCCCAGTCTGACCAATGATAAGGACGGACCTTTGCTGCCACGTTTTCTAAGCACATTGGAGACATTGGGTGCAAAGTGAGGCCTCATTTGTCTTCCATCTTCGCCACTTCTTCAAATGACAAATAAAACAACTTGTCAACAGCATTTACTGTGTCTAGAAGTTTGTCCTGCACCGCGACATCATGGTAGGTACGTCATAAGGGGACTTGAAGTACGTACCCCATCCGGTGACCCCACAAAGGCTCCACTCCTCAAAAGCTGAACTTTGCCACATCGGGCGCTGCTAAACCTAAACCACAGCGTCGGTGCCCTTTGTGGCTGAGTCTCCGACATCTCAACTGGCACACGAGTTTGAGTTATCTCGACGTCGGCTCGGATTTGCATCGCCATCACCTATGCCTAGCCTATTTACTCTATGAGTCATAGGTTTGTACTGGCTATGACAAGTGCCATGGGTCGGTCCAGCGTTTCGTGCTTTCCCGCCCTTACCGGTGTCGGTTTGCACGCGCCTTCTCATTGCCACCCGGCCGCCAGTATCTCGCTTCGCGGTATAGGCAGCTCTAGTTGCTGACGAGTGGTCTACCAAGACACTTTGGGGTCAGCCAACCCGGTTCCGGACTTCTCATATCGCCCGAAGGGGCCGAAGCGGCTGTGCAGGCAGCAGCAGTCACACGTCCGACGAGATAAGCTTGATTGAACGACGGTCCTTGCTGTGAGGCTGGGGTTGTAGCAGAGTTGCAGATATCTGATACCATTCCAACAGACTATTGGACAAGGTCGTTGTGTTGTGTCATCCGACTTGTGACTCTTCGCTTCGGAGGTCAGAGCCACTATGCAACCCTACTTGCTACTCGCTACCCAGGGTTGAGACGATTGGTGCAGGAGGCTCAACCGACTCGCTTCACTATGTTCTCGGTCTACCGGGTCCGATGGATGGAAGACCTGCATCCAATACCATCCGAAGGTAGCCTCGCCGCTGCATACAACGCTTCGTCAGCCGCATGGGAGCCTTGTGATCACGGATTCACGCCTATAGCACCTCGCAGTGATCTTGAGGGTGACTGGACTACGAGCTCTTGACGACTATCGACCAAACATCGATGATCGTACTCGCACTGTGTATACAAGTGCTCTATGCTATGGGCAGCATTGTCCAAGGTCATGTGAGGTCGCGTCGAGGCTCGTCGGCTACTGTTACGAGCACACACTGCGACGCGCGGTGCCTGAGACATGACTCTTTCTGCCTTGCACATCGAGATCTGGTGGAGGCCTCACAAGGCAGCACTTCTCCGAGCCCTTCGTGCAGTAGTCGAGACGGGACCTCTGCTCTGTCAGTCTCTGTCCCTCTGAGTCTATTGTGGGGAGACTATGCCAACGATATCCACATCCTCCACACACCAAGTGTGTGGACCCTTCCGCCACACGCAAACCATGACCGGCGATAACCCTGAATAATCTTCATCGTTGCGGGTTTAGCTCAGTTGGGAGAGCGTCAGACTGAAGTCAAACTTCATCAAGTCATCTGAAGGTCGTGTGTTCGATCCACACAAACCGCATGCGCATCGTCGTCGGCGCCATGTCTGCGTGCAGGCATGGTTGTCTTTTTTGCGGTCCACTGCTGTTCTCTTGAAAACTCTGCAGAGCCCTATGTTCCACACACAAGCGTGTAGCTGGAGATTCTACGGCAACATTCCGTACTTGTGACTTAAGACGACTTGCTGGCTGGCCGGCGTTCATGTTTTTGGAGGACTGACTCGTCTGAAGTGGGTTCTGTGCTAAGAAGCATGCAACCACAACATCGGACCGCCCAGTCACATCTTCAAGAGAGACAATATGCCTCATCATCCCCACAGCTCAGGGGGTGTAGCTCATCTGGTAGAGCGCGTGCTTAGCAATTCTCGCTGATGATCACATCGTGATCTTGGCCACATGTTCCTGCACGAGGTACTGGGTTCGACTCCCAGCTCCTCCACGGTTTCTTTTTTGCCCGTATTCTCGACACAGACTGTCGAACGAAGTGACTTGTGCCCACCACAGGGGGCCCGCCTGGTGCGCCGGGTTCGTACCACTTTAGAATGGGAACACGAAGGGTTTTGACGCAAGCCTAACTACCAATGTCTTGGAACTTCCGCACTTTTTGCGTCAGTGGAAGTTCAGGAGTCGGCAGTATAAAAAAGCCCTCGATCGTCCCGTTATCTGTCGTCGTGGTCGATTACGCGGAACGTGTTTAGCCTAAGTGCCTATGCTTACATCCATCTTAGCGCTCCAAGCTATTACTTGGGTAAGGCACAACAACCTACGGTATTCGCGTGGGTTATACGACAGGAGTATATTATCTAGTCTGGCAATTGGCGTCTGTTTGTTGGAAGCCGCGGGACTTCCTTCGGGTGAAGAAGCTTGTGGCACGGTAGCACCACATACAGATGTCATATATCGCAAGAAGGTCCGCTCTCCAGCGTCATGACTATCATGACTTCGTCTCGCTACACCCTCCGGCGCCCTAACCTGTAAAATGGCATTGACTATCACCATGTCTAGACTGTTCGTCCTCGGGCTCCTGCTACGCACACAGCTGCCACTTGTCTCAGGACTCAAGCACCACTTGTTCGTCAGCAACCTGTCCCCACCATCTTCCCTCTACGCGCTCGAGTTCGACGACGAGACGCTCGACTTCGTAGTCACAAACAACATCACCGCAGACGCCCCGCACTCCTGGATCACGTTCAATGTCCGTCCGATCTGCTCCCATCCCATCTCCTACTAACCTACCGCAGCACGACAAGACAAACATCTACGGCACCTCCAATATCGCCCCCAGAGTAGCCAGCTACGCCATAACCGGCAACTCTTCTCTGGAACTGACCAAATCTGTCCCAGCCGCAAAGACCTGCTCCAACCGCACGTCGGCCTTTGCCGTCGCCAGCCCCGCCGAGCCGTATCATGTCATCACGGGTGCCTGGCCGGGCCCGAACGCATGCGGCATGTCGTTTAACGTGAGCAGCAACGGCTCGCTGGATGAAGTTGTGGATTCGTGGGGGTATGCGAACAAATCTGGCGTGCATGGCCTCGCGCTTGGCGCGCGGGATAAGGAGGTGCTGTACTCGGCTGACTTGAATGGCGATACGATCTGGACGCATAGGGTGGGCGAGAATGGGCGGGCGGAGTATGTGGGCAAGTTTGGGGTTAAAGCTGGGAGTCACCCTAGACACTTGGCGGCGCACCCGGCGGGGAAGAGGTTGTATGCCGTCATGGAGGCTGGGAATAGGGTTGCGGCGTTTCTTCTGGACGGGGAGACGACGGTGGCTGATGCAGAGGAGTCGACGTACTCTCTGATACCAGATGGTGAGTTTCAGTCGCAGAGCTTGCATACTTGGAGTCCCACTCATCTCTGCTTAGCCTCCAACAGTAGCAATTACTGGTCCGCAGAAGTAATGCTCTCCCAAGACGCCAGGTATCTGTGGGTGACAACCCGGGCGCAGGTCAACACCAAGGTTCCAGGTTACACATCCGCCTTCCTCCTCGACGACGAAGGCGCCATTGTGAAGCGGATGTTTAGGGTGCCGACCACCACCGTGGGCGGCATGGCAAATATGATATCGCCGGCTCCGTGGGGTTGTGAGTGGGCTGCACTGACGGATGTCGGCGTAGGCTACGTGCAGATATGGAAGATGAAGAACAAGACTGAGGGACGACATGGGACAGAGTACGCAACCGCGGAAGCAGTCGCTAGGGCTGATATTGCTGATGGGGGGTGCCGCGCTGTTGCCCTTTGGTATGACTGAAGTCTACACCGAGGTAGTGGCAACTCTTGAAAGGTTCATACGTTGACTTCGTCCTGCAGTGGCGGCTACCAGACTGGAAGTTAAGCACCTATCAGTTGATCTTCCAGTTTCACAAAGATATTATGCGTTGCGACTGCTTGGTTGAGGTGTTCCTCGCGTTTCACTTTGCTCCTGTCTTCGCCTTCTCGGCGAAAGACCAAATACGGAACCCATCGGACATACTTTGGGGGAGACCCGTGATTCACGAGGCCTCCCTAGGACATGATACAGCCAGAGGTTCGCTCTGTCACTAACAGTTAGTGGCCTCAAGCTCGGCATGTTCCTCTCTTCAGATTGAAGGCAAAGCCAACAGACACAAAAGGGCACACTCCCCTGCAAAAGCAGAACCATCCGGCCTTCAGTCCTTCACAATAGGTCTACCCGCTATTCTCTTCATCCGGCTTAGAAACTCGCTGTAATGGCATATCACCAAGAGTCCAAGAACAGCCTTGCCGGCTTGACCCATGCCATGAACCCCGTCCAAGAACAGCCCAGCAATTTCCCCGACGGGATCCAGCAAGTTTTCATGGCGCATTGCAAGTCCGGTGATCCTCATGGCGTGGAGAAGTTGTTAAGGAATCCAGGAGTGTATCCTCGGGCTGCCGACGCCGACAACCACACTGCACTCTACCACTCGCTACGGAGCCGCAACGACGAACTCGTCCAGGTCATTCTCGCGCGATCCTACCCGCTGGACTCCCTGCCAGACAAAGCAGATATCTTCATGGATGCGGCACGCCTGGGCTGTGTCAACGTCGTCCAGCAGTGTCTAGCCTCCTCCGTCAAGGTCAACGGTGTTCTGCTCAAGGATTACATCAACAATCGCGGCCTCACAGCCCTGCATCTGGCAGCGTATTTAGGCAAGGTGGAAATCGTCGCTCTCCTCCTCCGCTTCGGATCTGCCGTGGACCTCAAGGATGGGCAGGGAACTACGCCATTGGAGCTCGCAGCTTTGGAAGTGAAGCCCGACATTGTGAAGATTCTGCTGAGCCATGGGGCGGCCATTTCCAGGAACGCCAGCGGCGAGACTTTGATCATGCAGGTTGCGAAAGGGACGCAAAAGCCTTGTGCCTGTGTCAGGGACGTCGTCTCCATGCTGTTGTTCTGCGGCGTGGATCCGAACGAAACCGACCACAATGGTCAGACTGCTTTGCATCTGGCTGCATTGGCAGGCCATTACGAGGTCGTCAATGCCTTGTTGGAACACCCCAGAGTGAAGCCTGACGCCAGGTCGGCCTCTTATCGCCATGATGGAACCGACTACCGAGGTCGCGGCTCTACCCAAACGGCCAAAATCACCGAAGAACTGATTGAAGCCGGAACAAATGCATATGCGATGGACAGCTCCGGCTTGCTCCCGATACACGTTGCTTTCCGTTCAGGCAACGTCCCAATGCTACCGGCTCTAATTTCACATGACCGATGGCTGTTGGACGCCAGGACTCCAGACGGACGAACTCCCCTCGACCTGGGAACTGAGAGGCTTCACCATCTGCAGTGGCTCCTGGAACAAGGGGTAGATATCTCCGCTCGTGACGAAGATCAAAGAACGGCGTCCTCTCGCAACCCGACCGCCATCTACTTCCAAACACTCGAGCTCTCAGCCCCAGACTTCTTCCCCTCCTGATACGTCTCACTCAGAGCATTATACAGCCCCTTCACCCTCGCAATCTCAGCAGTCCACCTCGCCCTCTCCCCCCCATCCTCAATCTCCCCAACCAAATCCGCCAAACTCTTGGCGGTAAAGAACTTATTCTTCCGGTTATACAGCGGCCTAGCCGCCAACGTCTCGGGCGTGTCGCCCGGCGCGGGGACACGAAACACCTCCTGCAAGATATCGATATCGTACGGGATAGCAAACAGGTCGCGGCTGTCCTCGTAGGTGAACAGGTAGTAGAACTCGCCGAACCCGGCCCAGGTGATGCCGCTCAGGCAGAGCGAGCACGGCTCGTGGGTGGCGAAGAAGACGCAGTCAATGGTCGCGGGCCGGCCTTCCGGGGGCGAGGCGAAGAACTGCTGGATGCAGTTGATCTCGCCGTGCAGGAGGGGCGAGGCGCGCTCGTCGTTGGTGGCTACTGTTATTGGCGCTAGGTCGGAGCGCGAGAGGATGGCGGCGCCGAAGAGTTTGCTGCCGGAGGATACGCCGCGCTGGGTGAGGGGGACGATCTTTTCTTCTGTTATGCGGAGGAGGGTGGAGAGGAGGGTTGTGGGGGAGTTGGTGGTGGTCATGGTGGAGGCTGTGATTTGGATGGATTGTCTGTGCAATGCTGCAATGCTAGTGTGTTGGGTTCATTTAACGGAGACAAGCAAGGGGCTGATGGATTGGATCATGCCGGGGGACTTTCGTATTTTATCTCTCATGTCGTCGTAGCTAGATGGATAGGAGGTTGCCAAGTCCCGGCGCCAGCCGACGGATCTCCGGCCAGGCCCGGCGCCGAATGTGGGGCCAGTTATCGGAGATGTCGTCCTCAACCTCAGCCGCAATAACATGAAGTGAAATGAAAGTGATGCGCATGTCTGAAAATAAATCGTGAAGTGTGGCAGCTTATCTTCAGGCCGAAACCAGTCAGCAAAGTCAGCTGGAAGTCAGATATGGTGGTACAACAGTGGCACACGAACGGCCAGTCGCCGTTGTCCGACGGCCACATCACAATGGAGGTCAGAACAGGGAAAGTGCATACAACCTAAGTGCACGATCCGAATCTCAAGTCTGTTAGCCACTATTACGCGGACAATAGAGCAGAAGTACCAAGGAAGACGACAAGATGGACCATCCCGAATTTCTGGATGTTGTTGGTGAGGAGCTCCACTGCAATGATGGAAATACCGCCAAGAAAAGTCAATTTCTGTTTTCTGCAAAAAACATACATTCTGTCACATCACGACGGCATATCACGGCGCCCGCAGAGAGCCTCGTACTCGCTCAGCCATGCATTACATCCGTCTTCTTCGTCCACCGAGTTTGGAGGGCTCAAAATCCGGACGGTCTCTCAGGCTGGTAGTCAGCATCACAACGGACCTAGGCGATGCATTCCTCTCACCGGCCAGTCCTATCTCAATCCGCGTCATTGTACGGAGCCGCGGACCGGATGGAGAAACTTGGACAGAGGTCACCCCCGTGCGAAGCCGGCCAACGTGGCGGTCGGGTTTG